ATAGACATTGGTGAGATTCTTATGCGCAGCTTATCACACAAGCGACAACGAGAGAAAACTTAAAGGTATTCGAATAATGAATACCCGAATTTCACGCAAGAATCTTCATAAAGAAACACGCGACTCATCCAGCTATTGTATTTACATAGCGGTAATATTGGACGAGCGGAGAGAGGGGTCTCGCAGCCTCCATTTAGGCCATGTGGAAAAATGACATGGTAAACACCAAAGATCAAGAGATGACATTCATGATGCGCCGAGCGCTGCACAACGCCGCCGACGACGAGAAAATGACGGGCGAGCTCTCTTTGTTCAGCCCGCGGAACAACTGGGCTCCGTTGTCAGAAACAAAAATTAAAAACGCAACGCATTGTACAGACATCTCAAAGAACAAACAGACTGCTTGTACCACCGACATAGCTGCACCTAATCCGTTTACAGCCTTCAAACCATGGGTTACGAAGTAGCAACTTACAATATCTAGGTGAAACGTACAGTGTCTCGGAAGGTTCTCCGATAAGACTCTCATCCTCTCCTCTCTCCCCTCCCATCCACCTTTTCTCCCTCCCTCCCTCCCTCCCTCCCTCCCTCCCTCCCTCCCTCCCTCCCTCCCTCCCTCCCTCCTCCTCCTCCCTCCCTCCCTCCTCCCTCCCTCCTCCTCCTCCCTCAATCATTCCTTCCCTCCCCCCACCCCTCAGGCCCCTGAAGGAGGCAGGCATTCCTATCCTCATGGCTGCGCTCGCTGTGACTTCCCTCTAACACCTGTCGGGCCTAAGCCTTTCCCCTCTTCCTTACATCGTTTCTGTCACGCCTCCAAACGTCTTTCGGGAAATTTCACCGATTTAGAATCATCCTCAGTTCCGACGTGAATACAGGGCGCTCTCTCTCCGTCCCTTTGCCGAGACAGGTTAACCCTACGCAGCCTGGTCATAAACTCTCTCGCTGGGCCTGGCACACGGTCCGGCACGCGTTCTGTTAAGGTGACACTACGACCTTGACACGTTATTCTTAGGTGGCGTTTAGACACACGGTCGGTTTTATCCAAGGCACACATTCAAAGTAGCCCTTAAAGAGGACACCAATCCCAGCCCAGGCATACAAGCATCCATACTTAAAAACGAATAAATTTAGTACGCGTATGTATATGCGCGCGCGCGCGTTTGTGTGTGTGCCTGTGCGGGGGGGGGGGGTTGTGTATATGTATGCATGCATACATCATTATTATATATGCATATACAGTCGTATGAGACAAATAAAAAAGGTATTCAGAAATGATGGTTGATACAAAGTGAGATTAAAAGGAACCACTGGAGGAGGATTCTGCGTGAGGCAACACTGACAATACGAGGAAGGAGTGGCTATGTTCAGGAAGCGAGACACAATAGAGGAGCGACTTGGTAAAACAGGAGGACTAAAGAAGCTGGGTCTGTGGCGGGGGCAGAGGGGGGAGGCTGGTGGCGGAGAATGACCAAGGGAAGCAGAGAAGGATGAGCCAGTGGTAGTTGTGGTGACGGTCGTGGTGGGCGAAGACAACGACGACGAACCGGAGGAGGAAGAGGACGACAAGGTGGAGAAAAAGTGTGAACATGAGACAGGAGGAGGAAGAACAAGTGGGAAATGGAGTGGGAGAGGGGGAGGGAGGGTCAAGCAAAAGAGAGTTATTACACTTCCGATTGACAGACTACTGATGTGCTGCTCTCTGTTGATGAAATGTTCTTTGATATCCAACAATTAATCAAATAAAATAAGTAAATGCACATTCAGCGTTCCCTACTCTACTCCTTGTGTTTTAGGCGCCTCCCTACAAATTGATATCCCTGCAAAATAGAAAACACAAATTACCAGGAGACGACCCCTCATACGACGACAAATCACTCTACGGTCGGTCCCCTTCGTGTTTGATTATATGCTAACTAATACGTCTGCATAAGTACGCGCAGCTTAGGCTATACAGAACAATACTTTAAATGCTATCTTGTGAGAATTACCAATATGAACGGGAGCAACAAGGGGAAGGAGAAAGGGAGGGTAAGAAGAAGGGGGTGGGGAGGCAGAAAAAGAGGGAAGGAGAAAGGTAAAGATGGGAGGGAGACATAGGGCGGGAGGGAGAGAGGGAGGAGAAAGAGGTAAAATGTGGGAGGAAAGAAATAGGTAGAAAGATGGGAGGGAGGGAGAAAGAGAGGAGATAAAAAAGAGGTAGAGAGAAAGGAGGGATGGAGAAAGAGGAGGGGAGGGAGGAGAAAGAAAAAGAAAACAAACATATATATATATATATATATATATATATATATATATATATATATATATATATATATATATATATATATATATATAGATAGATAGATAGATAGATAGATAGATAAGTAGATAGATAAATACATAGATATAGATAGATTGATAAAAGGGAAAAGGGAAGGAAGGGTGAGGAGAGAGAGTGAAACCGAGTGAGTGAGGAGTGACTGTGGGAGTAAAAGAGACAACAAAGAACTATGCAGTTAAA